AGCAGTTTGAAACTACCAGCTGTTCCCTGGGAGAAAGATGAGGCTTTCTGCTCCCGTAAAGATTTACAGCCTCAGAAACCCTGTACATGTCGCTATGAGTCAGAACAACTCCACTGCACATAACAACAACAATGTGGACTGCACAGAGTCCTGGCGTGGCGCTGTGGGTTACTGCACCAGACTGCAAAGCCGTTTGAACTGCAAGGTTGGCAGTTCAAGCTCAACCAGTTGCTCCTCAGAAACCCTATACAGGGTCGCTATGGGTCAGAACTGACTCAACGGCACTTAACAACAACAACAATGTCGTGACTGGAATTGTAGTTGCCCTGGCAGGGCCAGACCAAATTATTTCAAGGATTTACACCCTCGGAAACCCTGTACAGGGTCGCTATGGGTCGGAACCGACTCGATGGCACACAACAACAACAACAACAACATATGGCCCACGGGAGTTCTGGTGTGATAAAGCAGGTTAATGTGCTGGACTGCAAGGTTGGTGGTTCAAGCTCATCAGCTGCTCCTCGGAAACCCTATACAGAACCTATTCAATGGCCCTTAACAACATACAGCCCATGGGCTGGACGTTCCCCACCCATGTCCTAGAGTCATGAGAGAGCATGGCCCTGCTGATAGCTTGATTTCAGGCTCCGAGTTCCGATTTAGGACTTCTTACCTGTACTGTACAGGGTCGCTATGGGTCGGACCCGACTCGATGGCACTCAAGAACAACAACAACAACCTGTACTGTAAGGAGCTCTGGTAGTGTAGTGCTTACGAATTGGGCTGCTAACCTCAAGGTCAGCAGCTGAAACTACCAGCTGTTCCACGAGAGAAAGATGAGGTTTTCTGCTCCCGTAAAGATTTACAGCCTCAGAAACCCTGTACAAGGTTGCTATGAGTCGGAACCAACTCCACAGCACATAGCCACCACCTGTACTGTGGTCTGCCAAAAGAATGAACAAATCAGCCTTAGAAGAAATACAGCCAAAATGCTCCTTAGATGTAAGACTGGTGAGACTGACTTTGAATACATCATCAAGAAAGATCAGTCTCTAAAAAGGGCACCAAGACTGATAAGGTAGAGGGGGTCAGTGAAAGTGAGGGGGCTCCCTGAGATGAGCTGACACAGCCATCTCAACAACAGACTCAAACACACACGGATGGCGAAGATGGCGCAGGAACGGGCAGTACTGCCTTCGTACACAAGGTTGCAGGAGTCGGAGCGGACTCAAGGGACAACGAAAGGACAACAGCCTGCAGAACTGGGAGAAAATTAATTTCTGTTGTTTTTAAGCCACTCACTCTGTGGTACATTGCTACAGCAGCCCTGAACAACCAATCCAACAATCAAAAGAAATACATGTGTGAAATAACCTTTGCAAAGCTGTTTGAACTTCAAGGTCGGCGGTTCAAGCTCACCAGCTGCTCCTCGGAAACCCTATACAGGGTCGCTATGGGTCGAATCAACGGCACTTCACAACAACATCCTTGACTTAACAAACACACAAGGCTTCAAAAAAGCAAACCCAATGCTGTGAAGTCAATTCCATTTTATAATGATCCCATATGTTAGAGAGTCCAACTGAGCTCCATGAAGTTTTCTTGGCTGTATCTTCACAGATCACCAGGCCTTTCTTCTTTGGTGCTGCTGGATGAATTTGAACCTCTAACCTTTCAGTTAGTAGTTGAACACAGTTTATGCCACCCAGGGAATGACACAAGCCCTAATAACTGCTGTCCCCATTAAAGTGGTTCTCTTAGGTGACCAGGCTTGTTCCCACAAGGCAGCTACTGTTTGAACCACTACTGGAGAAACTTTCTTGGGGCTCAAGGCACATTCTTTTAAACAATGTCAGAGGAGCCAAATCTTTGTCCCTCGAGAGGGATTTTGAGCTTAGAAAACAGTCAGCTGTTTTGGTGCCAAGTCATCGATACGGTAAGAAGAGATGGGGTAGGGGAGGTGTGTGTGACAAAGTAGCAAAATAAAAATAAACAGTGGTGTGCTTAAAACTCAGTGTTAGAGAGAAAACGGGTAGACCGGAGACACTGGGCTGCTCAGGGGAGGCGGCAAATTGATTCCATCTTTCTCAAGAGCCATCTGGCAGTTAAAAAAAAACCTCATGCGTTTGACCTAGTAATTCCTCTTCCGGGAGCACACCTTCAGGAAACAACCCAAAAGAAAACAAAAAACTGTGCAGAGCAGTGGTATTATAATCACCCAGAAACTGAAAAGAAGCCAAGTGCCCAACAGTGGGGCAGCTCGGCAGGCATGGAGCAAGAGTGTACTGGCCGTGACAGCCAGCAAGAAGGACTTCACCTCTCCAAGTCTCAGTCCTCTCGTCTGGAAATGGTACCAAGTTCCAGAGGGGTTTTTGTGGTATTTTTTTGGTTGTAATCTTTACAGAAGCTGATCACCAGCCATTTCTTCAATGGTACCACTAGGTGGGTTTGAACTGCCAACCTTCCCATTAGTAATTGAGCATATTTCTGCCCCCCAAGGGTTAACACTTGCCCTAATAACTGCTGCTACCAGAAAAGTGATCACTTTGGGGGCATCTGCTTGCTCCCTCATGACAGTCCCTGAGTTTTTCTGTCCATGGTGGTGGAACAGGAAAAGAATGCAGCATGATGGTGGTAAGTGGACAACATGATGCACACAATCATTGCCACTTACCTGTACGTGTAAAAACGGCTGCGTCGGCAGCCTAACTACCATTTCTGAATATTGTGAGCGAAGATGCTACAGAGGAGTCCCCTCAGAGCAAACCCCCTTCCAACACTAAGACTCAATGAACACACACACTCTGACTGGTGACCACGTTCATCACCGATAAAGGGAAGAGAGGGAAAAACAGCAATGAAGCTGCAAGCTAAGCCCTACAACGTTCAATAGACTTCTGTGAACCC